TGTTCCTCTGTAGGAGAAGCTGCTGCTGCTCCTGCTGGGGCCGCTTTATCCCTGGCCGCTCCTAGAAAGTGACGGGGCAGCAAGCAGGGCCATTCTCCTGGCCCGCGCCCAGGAGCTGCAGGGAGGGAAGGGGCCAGGCAGGAATGGGGACCAAGTGGCACCAGCAGGTATCCCTCCCTCTCTGCACTCCCTATTATCTGACATTTTCAGTTTAGGTTGGATAATCGGGATTCTACTGTATTTGGAATTAGCAGCTGCAGAGCATCCACACTAACGCTATTTTGAAATAACAATTTCAAAATAAGCATGATTCTCCCAGAAAAGCAGGAGTACAGATTTTCAAATAACCAGCCCATTATTTCAAAATAATGGGCTAGGTAGTGTGGTTGCTTCACTTGTTATTTTGAAATAAGGGGGGTTATTCTGAAATAACTCCCTAGTATAGAGCCTGCCTAGACAGCTGCTGTATTTCCAGTTAGCTACAGAATTCCTGCTTAAATAAAAATGGTGGGAAAAATGATGGGTCACTTCTTAAGAACTAACTGTCCTATCTTCCTGTTTTGTCATAATTACTTAATTTATTCTATTTTTAGATTCTTTAATAATATAGTGATTACAGCATGAGTTTTCTTACATCTGCATTGTGGATTTGTGCAGGGGCCAAGTGTGTGTGTGCACCAAAAGCAAAGTTTCAGTATTGTTTGGGCAATACTTCTATCACTGCATCAAGCGTGGACCTCTATTGACCTTAATGGTCAGAGTACTGCTCCTTCTTCGACTTAGCTTCTGTCTCTCTTGTGACCTGCCATTATGAAAAACAAAAAGTGATTCTGCCAAAATACCCTTAAAAAAACATATTTCACCATACAAAGATGACAGAAACAAGCGGGATCTCTGACACTTAACAGATAAATGCAGCCTTTTAAAGGTCTTGTTTTTCCAAAATTTAGAAGATTTAAAGATGATTTGCAAAAATAAATTACAATATTTTAGCAACTTTAGCTATATGTGTTGAATGCCCCCATTAAGTTGTTTGTTCTGAATGGTTTTCAGCACAGCATTAAACTTACTGGGTTTTTTTCCCCCACCTCTAGGCCCTCAAAAGAACTTTTGTCATGTAGTTACTCTGTTTCTGATTTGAATGATGTCCCAGCAAACACCATGCTGGTGATGGCCTGGTCACTATGGAACTCTGTTGGAGCATGGCACTGGCTAAGGACTCAGGTAAGTCAACTTTTTCACATTTAACAAAGGTTTAACTAGATGTTATATCATAAATGGTATATAATAATGAGGAAATATTTCAGCAATTACAACCCTACACTTCTATGATACTGTAAGTTCAAAACTTTAAATTAACCACCCTGATTTTTTTAGATGAAAAAATTGTTTCTCTTGTGTTTTGTCACTCCCTATTAGCTATTCTTATGAGAATGATTTCAAGAATGCTGAAGGTTCTTAGTTTAGTTAATTGGACTTCTTTATTTTTCTTTATTTAACACAGCAATATCAGTTTTACTCTTTTCTCATTCACTAGTTTGTTATTTAATAAACCTCTAGATTGTTACATTGTTTACCCTAGGCCAAAGGGTATTTGATGGAGGGAAAGTTATTGCTGTCAATATGCTTGTGTCCTTTATAGAAATATAGTGCTGAGTAGATATTTCAGAATTATGCCATTTGAATTTGAATTCTCAGAAGTAACACATTCCTATTGTGCATGTGCAAAAGTGGTGATACTGCATGGTTTGTAACTTGGTAAAACTGGGATGGATTTTGATGGGGACAGCGAATGGCTGACCTCAGAACTATTCCTCTCTCAAATGCCAAGTAATTATTTCAAACCACCGAGGTGCTGCTAGAGCTGTTCAAAAGTTGGTGGGAATTTTATTTGTTAAAGTAGCTAAAATTTGTATTTTTTTTCATGTATCTTATTCTTGAATATGGCCTCATTGCTTTTTTTATTAATCCACCCTCAAAAAATCAACCCGAGACAGTCTGCAATCATGGAAAATTTCATCCTGAAAGTTTCAGGGGGTAGCCATGTTAGTCTATAACTGAAAAAACTTAAAAAACAACAAATAGTCTTGCAACAGCTTAGAGACTAACAAAAATGTAGATTAAAAGGTTATCATTTGTCAGAGTTATAAAGAGGTGAAAACAAGGCTCATGGAAATGGTTAGGCAACTTTAATGGCAGTCATCACGATTACTCTGTGTGCAACATCTCTTAGCAATGGCCTGAAGCCATACAGTTTCCAAGCAAACAATGGAAATTTAGACACTGTCAATATTTGGATGAGAAACTTAAAAAAAACCAAAAAACCCACAGAGTGATGAAAATAGTTAGATGTTAGTGATTCAGCAGTTGAATTTTTTTCTCTTTCATCTCTGTATCAGAACAGTTAAGTATATTTTTAAACTGCACAGTGGTATGAAAAGTACTTTTTCTATTAAAAGATAAAACAATGTGCTTGACCTACTGTTGGACATGACACTTTTTACAAAAGTAGAACTATGAGCCTTAATATTCTGGCCAAATTCCTATTTAGGTACAATAATTACATTCTGCCTCACAATTAGGCCAGTTAAGCAAATTTGTAGCAGTCAAAGAAGGGACCTAAGATTTGGCTGTTTCCTTCAGTTCATCTCCCTTAGCTGCTGTGTGTCCATTCAATGGTGAGATGATTTCATTATCTCCCACCTCTGTCTAAGAGGCATTGTGGGATATAATTAATGGTTGTAAAATTCTTCCACAGACTTTTTGACTAAAGATATTAAATACATGTAAAATAATATATTTAATAGACCTTATCTTTGAACCTGTGTGTCTGGTCTTTTTGTTTCTAACAGAAAGAGATTCTTCACTTATTCTCTCTCACACAGTTAAAGATAATTTCCCCCTTCTGTCTCCTACCCTTGCTTCAACTCCAATTTAGAATACTGTCATAATTATGCTGGATCTAGAATTTTCTGACATACTTTAAAACTTTTTAAACTTTCCAAGAGAGAATTTTCTGGTGTTACTGAATAGTTACAGTTCTAAAGCTGTCTGAAATATACTGTGAACTCCAATTTTCATCATGACATTAATACAATCTAGGGAGAGATGACCAAAATATTTATGGAAATTAATATGACTGAATCATATTAATCCGCAACAGTACTTTCCACCTCATTTACAATCATCCTGCTGATAAATTGTCACCTTTAATTTGACTTCTATGGAGTAGCATTTTATATAATTCCTTACTTATCTCTTGACTTACAATAAGTAGTTCAGATTTATCTATACCAGGAAAATAAGTTGGTAATTCTTTTAATTCTATTACCATATTAACTAAAAGTCAGCTATACCCCTCGTTCCCTACCAATAAGTCTTCTGTCCCTTTCTGTACAAAGACTACATGATCATAATTAAGGAGGGCATGGTGCATGTACATTCAGAGCCTGTTTTGGTCCCATTATGGTTCAACTTAAAAGGGTTTAATCATTTGAGAAGCCAGGATTGTTGAAGACCACTAATTAGTATATTGATGAGAGATCAGTCTTCCTTACCTAGTGAAAAATTGATTGTTGCTGCTGGGTTGTTGTGGGCTCGGCTCTGTGGAGAGGAAAGTGGAATGGTTGTCGCTTTGCTGTCTAACAGCTGGAATTACTGTTAATTGATCTCTGGCTTCTCTGGTTATGACCCACATGAAGTGTTTTCTTAACACTTCTTTGAGAGAGAAAGGTTAGTGAATTGTTTACACGTTGCCTGCCTTAGATGATACCCTGCTCTAGGAGCCCTAAAAGCTTGAATGTGTCATACATTTATCCAGAAACTTGTCATATATTTATCCAGAAGGGAGATTAGCAAACAAGATTGAAATGGCAAATGTCCTACTTTACAATTTAGTGGAGCTGGCTGATCCAGTAAATGAGTGATAGTGTTCTGCCCTGGACTTTGTAAGTTAATATGCATTCTTAAGATGATGCAAGTAAGAGAGGATTAATTATAAGAAAGTTCCTTGTTTCAAACAGTTCTTTTAAAATGAATTGCACACTGGATTTGCAGCAATCTTGTAATTATGGGGCATGTTAATCCTTTACATATTTCTATTCTGTATGCCATTTGAGCATTCTATTCTTCTACTATTTACATACAGTACACTTTATCACTTGCTAGAAATTATTGATCATTCAATAACGGAGGGTGAAATGGTGTCATGCACATTAGGGATTTGCACCCATTGGAGAAATCTGAACATACAGTATTATATATGGAGATATACCATCTAATAGAACTGGAAGGGACCTTGAGAGGCCATCGAGTCCAGTTCCCTGCCCTCACAGCAGGACCAAGTACCATCCCTGACAGATTTGCCCCAGATCCCTAAATGTCCCCTCAAGGATTGAACTCACAACCCATGTATCCCTGCCGAAACTCTTTGACTTTTGCCCGGACCTTTTGCAGTGTCCTGGGGTGGTGCCCTTTATCAGACAGCCCCTGAGCCATGCAGCCATAGATGCTGGCGTTCCTGCGCCGGGTGTGCAGGGCCTGGCCGCTTCCTCCTCCCCCCACAGTTCAAATAGTGTCAGAACCTCTGACCCTGACCAGGCTGGGGCTCTCTTTTTCTCACCTGAGAGAACTTAGGCTGGCTCCCTCGAAAGTTCTTGGGGGCCTCGTGGCTTTGGAGCTGCACACATTGCCACGTGCAAGTGAAGCTGGGAGAGCTGTGTGCTGACAGGCTTCCTCTGTGGCCAGTTTCCTGTCACAATGCCTGCCAGGGATGTCTGTGCCTTTAAAACATGGCTACAGACAGCAACAAGAAGAGGTTTTTCCTGAAGGACTGTCCTGCTGGGGGTTTCCTTGGAGGTCTTTTTTAGTCTGGACGCAATGTTACAGGCAATAACACCTTCTGTCGACAGAAGGTGTTATGCTTCGTAAAATGAGGTTTACCCGTGTCGACAAAACTGCTGAGTTCTGTCGACATTATGTCAACAGAACTCCGCGGTAGTGTAGATGCAAGTATCGTTTTGTTGACAAAAGTCCACCCTGTAGTCTAGACACACCCTTAATTATGGAAGCCCTGGTAGTGACTCTACACTTCAGGCTGAGCTTCATTCCACATTGAAGTTGAGATTCATATTTTTGTTATATGTGGAAAATATTCTGTAACCTCCCTAAACTTACAGCACTTTCTTTTTGAGCTAAAAAGAATGAATGAATTTTCAAGATTTTATAAGTAAATAAGGTGAAAGCAGAACTATGTGCACTATGTACAGGAGTAACTCATAATGTGTAAAAAATCATAGACTCATAGTCAAGTCCCCTGCCCTCGTGGCAGGCCAAGCACTGTCTAGATCATCCCTGACAGGTGTCTGTTTAACTCACTCTTAAATATCTCCAGTGTGGACATTCCACAACATCCCCTAGGCAATTTATTCCAGTGTTTAACCACCCTGACAGGCAGGAAGTTTTTCCTAATGTCCAACCTAAACCTCCCTTGCTGCAGTTTAAGCCCATTGCTTCTTGTCCTATACTCAGAGGTCAAGGAGAACAATTTTTCTCCCTCCTCTTTGTAACACCCTTTTAGATACTTGAAAACCTCCATCATGTCCCCTATCAGTCTTCTCTTTTCTAAACTAAACAAGCCCAGTTCTTTCAGTCTTCTCTCACAGGTCATGTTTTCTAGACCTTTAATAATTTTTGTTGCTCTTCTCTGGACATTTTCCAATTTCTCCACATCTTTCTTGAAATGTAGTGCCCAGAACTGGACACAATACACCAATTGAGGCCTAACCAGTGTAGAGTAGAGCGGAAGAATGACTTCTCATGTCTTGCTCACAACGCTCCTGTTAATGCATCCCAGATTCATGTTTGCTTTTTTTGCAATCATGTCACACTTTTGACTCATGTTTAACTTGTCGTCCTCTATGAACCCTAGATCCCTTTTAGCAGTACTCCTTCCTAGACAATTACTTCCCATTCTGTACGTGTGAAACTGATTGTTCTTTCCTAAGTGGAGTACTTTGTATTTGTCCTTATTAAACTTCATCCTTTTTACCTCTGTCCATCTCTCTAGTTTGTTCAGATCATTTTGAATGTTGACCCTATCCTCCAAAGCACTGGCAACCTCTCCCAGCTTAGTCCCATCTGCAATCTTAATAAGCATACTCTCTATGCCAATATATACATAGTTAATGAAGCTATTGAACAGAACCTTTCCCAAAACAGACTCC